TTTTTTTTTTTTTTTAATTTGTTTTCCTTAGTTGCTTCAATCTCAGGGTGGTGGAGACTCGTCCCCTACCCGCAATGCTGTGGACGTCGCCAAGTCCTGAGCACATGCGAGGGGCAGGAGCATCTCCCACCCTTTGCTGACTACCCAGTGCTCACGATGGCAGCAAAAGAGCCTAGGGCAAAACAGTTTGCAATGTGAGACTGCTAGCAGGGGGAAAACCCAAACCTGGGTGAAGCAGAGCCGCTTCATTTCACTGTCCAAGCTGAGAGGTGTGAAAAGTCAAAAAAAAAATTACAACAACCAACAGTTTTGCATTTTAGACTTGTTTTTCCCAAGAACTCTTGTGTTTTCCTCAGGTCCTGGGGAAGATGTGCAGTAAAGCGACCAGCGTGGGCTTCTCTTTTAGGTTTTGTGAATTTGCAGAGCATTGTAGTGACACCATCAGGCTCGAACCAATCCAGAGGTCTCCACAGCATTCTGACTGACCCTGTGCACGGCCTTGAACGGCACCGAGTAACTGTACTTGCTTTAACTCATCGGTTGTGAACCCCAAGGCTCTGTAATTTCCATCTGTATTAAATGCGCAGCTGTGCAGTTAACTCATGAAGTTGCCCATGGTCTAGTCAGACTTGCACCTTGTGGCTGCTGATCTTTCTATGAGCTGCAGCATTTTTCTTGCTCCCTTTTGTACCCTAAATACAGAGGAACCCGTAGGGGGAGATGGGGCTGCTGCTTCTGCTCCTAGGCTTCTCTATGCTGCAACCTGTCCTGATGTTTTACAGTTCTTCACAGTGCTGCTTGTTCACAGGTTTCTCATCAGGATCTGTGCTCACCTTTGCTGTTTACAAACCGTTAGGATTCTATGTGCTCTGTTTAATGGCATCTAATTGTCTTGGTAATGATGGGCAGTCTTATTCTGCAAATATCTTTAATGCCTTGCTAGAGGGGAGCGGTGCACATACATCACACCTTTTACCCTTTTCTTTCTCTTTCACACTTGCGTGGCTCTGCATTTCTCTGCCTCTGGTTTCCAAAGCAAGAGAAAAACGGGTCTGTGGGTCTGTGTGCCGCTGGCCAGGTGGACTCCCTATGCGAGCAGCCAACGTCTCCTCTATTTATCTGGAGTATTTTAGAACATTTTTGCTGTAGGGAGAAATATTTGTGCCAAAGCATGCGAGCTGATTCTGACAACAAATCTGTCTGGATGTGTGTGCTCTCGTGTAGTCCTGAGGGAGACGGAAAGGAGAGCAAGCCACCGGCAGCTCTCGCGGCAGAGGGACCTGCAGGGAGCTTGGCCAGGAGGAGAGGGAACTGTCTGGCTCTCCTGTGGGTCCTGTAGAGCAGGTGTGGGCCAAGTGGGTCCCCCAGCACCCATGCTGGGTGTCCACACTTGCAACTTGTAAATGCAGTATCCAAATCCTCCCAATGGCCAGGACCGAGAGCCCTGTTCTTGCAAAGAGGGAGGCATCTCGGATGCTCCTGCCTCGGAGCGGAGCTCCCTGGTGGGCTGACACAAAGCTGCTGCCTGCCAAGGGTTTTGTCACACACTGGACACCCAGGGAGGTCCAGGCCTAACCATGGCCAGGCCGTGGCATCCTAAGCAGCCATATCTCAGCTCTTTTTCTGCAGGCTCTGCAAGCAAGACCTCTCTGCTTTTAGTCTTAGCTCATTTCACGCTCCCCACTTGTGTGTCCCTTGCAGGCATGGATAATCAGACGGTGCTGGCTGTGCAGTCCTTGCTGGATGGTCAAGGAGGGGTGACCGATCCATCTGCTCAAAATGTCAGCTCATCCGCCACCATCCAGTCCATGGGTGAGTCTCCAGCGCTGAGAGAAAGAAGAGGGGGCAGTGCAACAACTTACAATGTGCTCTCCATAATGGGGGGATTCAGACCGTGCATATGGGACACTGCTATGAGCATTAGCTGGATTCGGTGTGGGAGGAATGGGTCTGTGCAGGAAGAAGCTTTTGGAGTTGGTCTTGGCAAGATGCTGGATGGGGCACTTTGCTAAGGAGTGAAAGAAGGTAGCAGTATCCTCCCTGCTGCAGGTGTTGGTTATTGCTTGTATTTTGCTTGTGATTGCTATTGTTTATATTTTTTAATGTAATGAGAAGTCCCTTATCCTCTGGGGCTGTACTGCTTGTCCCATCACTGAGTGAATCTATGTGAATGAATATGGGAACTGTAGGCTTATGTGCACATGAAAACTCCTTCAAGATATCTTTGGAGCTGCTCTCCTGGCGTTGGTCCAGCCAGTGCTGGCCGAGGACTTGCCGAGCAGGTGCAGAACTGCCTTCCGGGTCTCCCACCCATTGCAGATTGCAACTGCAAGTTTTGCAAGCTATGGGTTGGCAGTTTTGTTGGCTGAAGACCCAAGAGCCTGTTTAGAGGGTTAATATTTTGAGCTTTTGCTTGTGAGAGTGTGTTTTCTCTTCCTGCTCTTTTTTTTCCCCTTAGAAAAGGGAGAAAAATGGAGGAGACTAGCCTGTCTGTGAGATTGTTTTGGACAGTGAATTCTCAGTTTAGCCTATGATTGAGAAGACCTCTCATGGTCACTATGTTCTGAGCTGTGCTCTTGGAGAAGTCTGTGTCCTCCAGCACTGTCCTGCCTGGGGCTGTGCTGGGAATCAGACACTAGTCATAGCCATGCGAACCACAGAGTACTTGTTCCTCAAGAGCTTTGAGTCCAGCTGTCTCTAATTGAAAAGTGGCGTGTGCCTCTTTGGGTTGATAGTGCTGCAGATTTAATCTAGAACATGGTACCTGAGTTGTCTTCTTTTTGCCACTAATGTAAATATTCCTCTGTGCAACTTGAGTAGTAAAGCCTGCATTAGCCAAGGATAATCATGATGCTTTGAAAGAAGCTACTTGACTAAAAGCACAATGTGGCACAACAGCAGAACTGGGCTGGATATTCACGTCTTTGGGATGAGAAGACAGGCAGTGGGATTCAGCTCGTCACCGTGACACCATGAGTTTGGTATATGGGTGCAAGGCAGAAACGAGCGCGTTTCCGTCACTTGGTTTCGGGGTGAGCTGGGGAATGGGGAGGAGGGACAGTTCTGCTCTTACAGCTGATCTGTCCTGATGATGACGTCCTAGAGATACAGAAGGTGCCTGCTGTCCTGCTCCTTCTGCTGTTGGTTGATGTAGCACTGGAAATGCTGAAGAAAAGAGGCTGGAACGGTGATCTCGTTCTCTAATTGCAGATGACGAAGATGTCTTCCTGTGCGGGAAGTGTAAGAAGCAGTTCAACTCATTGCCTGCATTCATGACCCACAAGAGAGAGCAGTGCCAGGGAAATACCCCTTCTCTCTCCACTGTCTCCCTGGCCACCAACAGTGTGTACAGCCCGTCCATCACCTCAGTGCAGCAGGCTCCGAGTGCCAGTCGACAGGTACCACGCAACAAGTCAATGGGCTCTGGGGCTCTGTCGCTGTTGTTTTGGGAGCAGGAGAACCTCTGCAGTATGCTTTTAAATCCAGTGATACCTCATGATTGACCCTCTAGGAGGCTCACCTGTGGTCGTGTTGGATTTTGACATCGTGTTAAATCTTCTTGGTCCTCTGCTGTAAGGTATCCTTCAGCATGAGTATCTAGCTGCTTTTTGTCAGGCCAGGAGAAATTTCTTAGCATGTCTGTGCTCAGCCAAGCTTGAGCTCTACCCAAGGGCACCAGTGTCACAGCCAGCCTGGCAAACCTGCGTGTGCTGTGTGTTGCCCAGGGCCGAGTGGGTCTTGCTTTTCCCTGGGTCACAGTTCGGCTTGTGGGCAGAAGGGAAGGGCTGTGATTGTGGCACCCTCACCCCTGCATCCCTCTGTCCAGTCTCCTGCACACGGTGTGAGGTGATGTGTATGAGGGGGGTGTTCTCAGCAGATTCTCTTCCCCAAGAGGCTTCTCAGGAGTGAGTTTGTGCAGCAGTTCCCCTGCGCACAACATGTCCTCTGACTGCAATGTGATGGCTTCTGAATGTTTCAAATCAAATTCTGTTTTTCTGAGTTAACCTAGCACTGATGCATGGTGCTGCCTGGGTTTCCAAACACTGGTCATTTCTACCAACAAGAGAGGACAGCCCAACCTTCCCTCCTGTAGTCCGTCTCTGATCTGAAGATAGGAGCCTGATGTTCACCATCTGCAAGCAGAGCAGCATCCCTCGATTCCTCACCTTACCTACCAGGGAAAGCATCCAGCAAAGGCCCTAAATTACCTGCAGCTAGTTGGTTCTGCAAAGCTTGTTTAATATCCAACTATCTGAGCCAGTCACTGCTTCCCCAAGTAGTCAGAAACATGTATGTCTCCTTCTGGGGTGAACATTTCCAGAGCTTGCTTATTGTTACAGCTAAGAACTACAGAGAACTCGATAGGAAACCGAACATAATTACCTTAGCTCGTCTGCTTACTAGAGCCTGTGGAAACAGAGATGCAGAGGGTCAGTAAAACGCTCAATATCGTTGTTTTTCTGATTTTACTAATGCTGATTAGTAGTGCAACTTTTTTTTTTTCTTTCCCAGCAAATTTCTACATACATCACGGTTCCTCCGTCTCCTTTGATTCAGACCCTTGTGCAGGGGAACATCTTAGTCAGTGATGAGGTGCTGATGTCGGCCATGTCTGCTTTTACCTCCTTGGACCAGACGATGCCAGCGGTGCAGCCCTCGGCGCAGGTGAGGAATGTGCGGGGGAGTCCCGCCGCCTGGAAGGGGGATAAGAGAATTATGCCTCGATGCTGAGGCCTGGACACCGTCCCAGTGTGACAGCCATGACCAGGGAGGCCTGATAGATGGTGACGGAATAACTCCAGGATCTGTTCCCTGCTGCTGGCCTTGTTGCTGGATGATCAGATATTTATAATATAGTCTTTCCAGCTTTCCTTTTTTTTTCCTGTTTTTTGGAGCCCTCATCAGTTTGCCATATGGATCTTGTCTTGGGATGATTGGTGTAGGCTCTGCTCAGAGCTGGATATACTCTCCGTGCTCTGAAAAGGTCCTTAATAACCAGAAAGATAAGGGCGAAAAAAAAAAGGCAAAGAAACAGTGGGGCTTAAGTGCTTGGAGACGTTATCTACCAGTAGATCAAGCCAACCTTCTGCTTGCCAGCACAGCCTGCTCCAACGTGGCAGTTGGGTGCTGGCAATGTTGTCACTGATGCTGCTGGTGCCATTTGCAGCCCTGTGTGGAACGTGAGCGTGAGGGTGCAGCGCTTCCACTTGGGCCTTGCTAGACCAGTGATGCATTTTTAATGCCTTGTGCACCTGTCTCTCCTTGTTCTGTTTCCAGAGCAGCCTGAATATGCACACTGGGGCTGGTTATCTCTCCCAGCCCCCTCCGCCACCGCCACCGCCTCCACCGCCACCTCCACAGCCGCCGCCACCTCCACCACCAAGCCTGGGTGCTGCGGGGCCGTCCAGCGCCGGGGCTGGTGGCGTGGTCGAAGTGTACAGCGCGCCTGCTCCAATGGCAGCAAGCAGCACAGTGGAGATCCAGTCGCTGGGGATGCAGCCCTATCCGCCCATAGAGGTAAGGCCAAGCAGGATTAGAGTCTGGGAAGATACGTTAGGTTATTTTACACACACAGATTATTTCCTCTGGGAGCAAGTACTGATCAGAAGGATGTCATCAAGCGGCAAGGAGTTCTGAGAACAGGAGAAGGCAATTGCAAGGGAGAAGCAGTGTGTTTTATTGAGGTAAGACGGCGATTTAACAAAGTTCAGTTGTAAATAAGACAGTGATTTGACAAGGGTCAATGGCAAGGTTCACTTGGTTATTTACTCCATGGAGAACAGGGTGAGATGGAAGCGTCGAGGAGACCCTCCCATTGAGTCACGAGGTTCAGAATGGAACCCCTTGCTTTCCAAACTCCTCCTCAGAAGAGTCTGGGTGCAGCTGGATCCAGTCTTAGTCTCAGTCAGTGGTTTATGTCAAAAGGATTTCAGGGATGTAACTTAGCAAAGTTTCAGTATGCCATCAGTCACATACTGAGGTAAGGAAGGAGGTAAGGAGATAGGTGGTAAGGAAGCTGAAGTAAGGAGATAGGTGGTAAGGAAGCTCTCAACCTTGAGGAGTAACCCTGAGAGGTGTCCCTGCTCAAGAGCAGATTCTGCAGTGCATCCTGCTGCTGTGCAGGAGAGCTCGAAGGGCTCTGGACTGGAAACTACCAGTGTGAGAGAAGTTGGCCAGGCTTGTCTTTGTCGTTAACATCTGATCTGGAAGTGCAGGTGTTCAGAAATGGATGATGTTCAGTAATTGGATAATTACTGCCCTGTGTTAATTCGTCAGGATGCGTAACAAAAAGAGCTCAAGCCATGCTCCTCCAGACTGATATCTCTTTTCTTCTCTAAGCATCACCCCACATTGTTTCTTAATAATAGTGACAGTGTGAATGGCGCTAGAGTTTTATTGTGCCTCCTTCCCTTCTGCAAGTCCTTCTTGGTTGGTAATAGGGCCTGGAGGTCTGGTAACCTTCTCTGGAAGGATGAAAACCTGTTCTAGGTGTAGGACCTAGATGAGGAACTAGAGAGCTTCTTCAGAGAGTTTCTCTGTTTTCCTTCCTGATAGAATAAGTCCTGGGTGCTTAGTCGTGTTCAGCAAGAACATTTCATGCAATGCCTGCCATTAGTTTTAGGTAGAGACACATAGTTGAGATCAGACACTCCTGTTGGATCAAGACAAGTTTGATCCGGTTTGGCAGGAGGCAGAAAACTTGGATGAACTGATACCCTCCTGTGACAAGTGTTGCTGGAGATGTAGAGTCATAGGCACTGTGCTTGGTGCAGAGTGACGCTGTCCATTAAATCTGTTTTTCCACTGATAATTGCATTCTTCCAGGTACCCAGCCAGTGTGTGGAAAATCCTGTGTATCCCTCTCCTCCTGTCTACAGCCCTGGGAAGCAGGGATACAAATCCAAGAGCACCAGCGCTCCGGCACCTTTGACCAGTGCAGGAGGAGGCAACGTGGTTGGCTTTGATTCTGCCTCTGCTGCCAAAAGTAGACGCTCCAAAGCCGAGAGCGGGCTGCATGAAGGTAGGTGTCCTTGTGGCTGCAGCCCTGCAGCAGGCCCTTGGGCTTGTCCTGTAGCATGCAGTTGAGCTGCATGCTCTCCAGACTGTTGTGTGGCACGCCGTTCTCCAGGAGCTACAGGACACCATGCTCAAGGCTGTCAAGAGCAGGCAGAGATACAGATGTGCATCTTGTCCATCATCTCTGGACACACCTGAAATGACTGCCAGTGTGCCATTGCATGGCACAGACTTTTGCTAAACTGCTGCAGCTGAATGCTTGTTGGAGCATGCTTGGAAAAGGGGAGATGCTACAAATAAAGAGCTTGGTCTGTGTTAAGCTAAGCAAGAATACCCAGATGGAAGGTCCAGAGGCTGGATGTGGCCTGACCTTTAATGCTCAGCAGGTCTCACCAGTCCAGTCTCTGCTACATATTTCAGTGTGTATACTGCCTGCAAACAAAATGTGCCTGTCCCCAGGTAAGGCAAGACAGGAGCATGTCTGATGACAGGAAGGATGAGTATCAGACCCTCCACTGGCAGAGCCTCCCTTTTGCAGAGACTCTACTTCTAGCTGTAGCGCAGGCTGCATTAAATGTAGCCTAAATTTCTCTCTGCTATGGCCAGGCAGATTTTACTTCATGAGCTCGTTAATCTTTTGCTAGGATAGATGTGTGTTGGGTGCAGAGCAGAGGAGGGCAGGGCTGAGCCACACAATCTCATTCCTGTGCATGCTCTTCCGCTTCCAGGGAAACCCAAGCCCCCCAAGCTGAAATGCACTTACTGCGACAAGGCCTTTACCAAGAACTTTGACCTGCAGCAGCACATCAGAAGGTAACAGGGTCACCAGCATGGACGCAGCCGAGCGGCTGGGGTGGATCAGATGTAGTGCCATCGCGGGAGACTGCGCAATCCCATAGGCCTTGTGTTTGTCTTGCCACTCAAAATATACACCATGCGGGGAGGTGATCCTTTACCCTCCTCCCTCCAGTATACCTCTCCCACTGAGTAGCTTAGCAGGTGGGGTGAAAGCTGCATCATTGGTGTAATCTTCTTGGTGATTAAGGGCTGAGACTGGGGGCTTCTTTCCTCTTTGACATGACCTTGGAAAGTCAAGCCTCTTGTTACCCAATTGCTGGAGCAGTGTCACCTCCACTGCTTCCCTCTGCCTTTGCACCTCCCCCTAAGTGGGGAGCTCTTATAAGATCTAGGCCTTTGCCAGGCAGTCGTTAGTTTCTGCCCCAGCAGAGGCTACAGAACTTGAGGCAGGTGAGGAGGAGTAAGTGGTGGTTTTGGTCCCTTTCCCATGCTAGACTCTTCACGCAGTGTATGCTAGGTGCCAGAGCCACATCTTTCTCCCACAGTGGAAAAGAAGGGTATTTCAGCTGCAAAGGGGGGAGCACAAATTCAGGGAAATCGGGGGATTGCAAGCTAAAAACTATGCGTGAGCGAGAGAGGGAGGCATGCCAGGGATGAGCAATGGGGTCCCAGAGGTCAATGTGGAAGCCTTCAGAGTGATGTCCTGCATTGCAACAGAGCTCTTCTCTCCTTTCCGCTTCTTCCTTTGATCCTTTCTCATCCCCTGGCTGCGAGTGGCGACTGCCCAGTGCAGTCCTGCAGCAGCCTTTGTGCCGTGGTCTGTGCTGAGGGCTGCTGACCCGGTGCCTCCTGCCTTCAGTCACACAGGTGAGAAGCCGTTCCAGTGCATTGTGTGTGGCCGAGCCTTCGCCCAGAAGTCCAACGTCAAGAAGCACATGCAGACCCATAAAGTGTGGCCTCCAGGGCTGGGGTGCACCATCTCCCGCAACTCCATCACGGTGCAGGTCATGGCTTTGAACCCCAACCAGATGGAAGAGGAGGAGAACTCAGGTTGGCTGCTTGGTGTCTGGCGTGTCTTAGAGGCAAAGTAGTGACGTGGGGAGTCTGCAGGCTCCTGCATCTCCTTGTCCCTGATGGGGAAGGAAGAGAACCCCCTTGGGGTTTAGCAGCACACTTTAGACAAATGCAGTGTGTCTCATTTGCTCAAGTCCTGCTGCAGCTCATGGGGACCCATAGTAATGGTGAGTCCAGACACTAGTGAGACAGCAGCCCTGAACTCTCTGCCAGGTCATGCATGGAAACAGGAGGCACCTTCCCCTTAATTCCTGAGGATGCAGCTTTGGCAGTGTGCAAGCCGTGCTTGGCAGCTCTGATCCAGTGGCAGGACAAGATGGTGATTTAACATAGTGTAGTGCACTGGCCTGTTTGTGGTGCTCAAGTCATGCCCGGGGTGGGTCTGGCCATCTGGAAATGCTTGAGGCAGAGAAAAGCTGCTTGTGGCAGGCAGGTATGTGAGTTACCTCAGTCTCAGGTAAGAGAAGAGAGAACAACACAGCACGGGAATGCCAGGTCTAGGCCAGGGTCCCACTAGAGCTGCTGTCTGCAGACTTCAGGGCTGCTGCTGGGCTCCATGTGTTGCCTCCCACCTTGTCTCCCTGTGTCCCTCTTCCCTGCCTAAGATGGGAAGTGAATCTGGCTTGGGTTCCCTGCAGGGGGTCTGCCGTGATGACTGCTCCACAAGGTTCATTTATTTCTTTGGAAGCACTGTGGTAAGGAGAACAGGTCAAGGAGAGGAAGGTAGAGAAATCAAAGCCCGTGATATTCTGTAGACAGGAAAGTTGGGGAGTAAGTCTCATCTGAAGAATGGAAGAGCCTGGAACCAGTGCCGGGCCTGGGATGTCTTGGCTTGCCGAGGGCTTGCAGAGCAGCTTTTAGAGCTGCCTGATAGCAGTCTTTGACTTTGTGTCTCCCTGTTCTTCAGATTTGAGTCAGACCTCAAGGAACCCTGTGCAACCGCCCCAAGACATGGCCCCCATGGAGGAGAGTGAGGCAGACAAGCTGGAAGCCAAGCAGGTTGTTTTGATCGATAGCTCTTACCAATGCCAGTTCTGCCCCAACAAATTCAACACTTACTTTCAGCTCAAATCACACATGACACAGCACAAGAATGAGCAGGTGAGTGAGGATGGAGGGTGCCTTGTGTTGGTGGTGAGACTGAGACAGGCTTTGTCCTGTCCCCAGTGTCTGTCCCTGGCATGTTGCTCACTCCTTAAAGCTGCCAGCACTCCCCCTGCATTATGGCTCGCTGCATTGCTGTGCGTTGTGTGGTCTGAGTAGTTTTGAAAAGCTCCACTGCCTCTGCAGTGCAGAGCTGCTGGTGAGAAATCAGCTGGGCAGGTTCAGGTAGCTAGAGAAAAAGGAAAGCAGCAAACCTTCAGTGTAGCTGGCAGCTCTCAGGTCGTGGGATAGTCACCACTGTGGTGGTGTGATCATACCTCTTCGGGTAGTTTCAGATGCTCAGTGCACTAGCCCTTTCTCCATCTGCCTCGCTCTCTTCAGAGGAAATGCTGTGATGTTCTGCAAACGCAGAAGTTGAGCTAGTTCAGCCCAACCCTCAGAGATGGGGGGGTCGAGGGTTAGTGAGGCTTATGTTCTGGCACTACATTTTCTTATGAATCTGGTCTCATCCTGGTGATAATAATGGAAAAGGAGCAAATCCTGTTGGAGGTGGGGAGGGCTGTGCTGAGTTTTCACATCCTCTGCAGCTATTGGCCAGCAACTGAAGCAGCTGTGTGGGTCAAGGAAGAAATCTAGTTGTGTGGCACTAGCTGTTCCTCAAAGGAACCTCATGTGGGCAAAGTGGCCGTGGATATCAGCCCAGTGGGTGCTGTGCAGCACAAGGGGAGTTTGTCCTACTTCCTACTCCACTTGAGGAATTTCTGCTCTTGTCTTGACTGGGAGTTGTCACACGCATTTTGACAATAAGGCTGCTCTGTGCTGTTCTTTAAAGACCTTCCTCTGGGGCAGGCAATGGAAGGAGGGTATGTTTTACCAGCATGTTGCCCTGCTGCAGTGCAGAGCAAGGTTTCATTGCTGTGCCCCTTCCTGAGTGCCAGCAGTCTGTGGCAAAGCTGCAGTCACAGTGGGCTCTCTGGGAACTCTCATGATGCTTCTTTCATAACATCAGTTCAGCTGCTCCCCAGCCCGATGAAGGGACAAGGCATGCTCTGAATGTAGACACAGCAGCAAGTGTCTGAACCAGAAGATCACACTGTCTGTTGACTCGTCACTGTCCTGTCCTCCCTCAGGTGTACAAGTGTGTGGTGAAAAGCTGCGCTCAGACCTTCCAGAAGTTGGAGTCCTTCCTCGAGCACATCAAGAGTCACCAGGAGGAGCTGAGCTATCGCTGCCACCTCTGCAGCAAGGACTTTGCCTCCCTCTATGAGCTGGGAGTCCACCAGTACTCCCACAGCCTGCTGCCCCAGCACAGCCCCAAAAAGGATGTGGCCGTGTACAAGTACAGTAGCAATTGGTGCTTACAAGGCTTGTAGGAGTGAGTGTGTGCTGAGTGTGTTTGGCTGAGAGCTGTCGGGACCTGAGGGGAGAGGGTGGCATGTTCTGCCACCATGGTTCCCTTGGGCACCTGAGTCACAACAGGAGGGCCCCTCCACCAGGCTGCTGAGACAGGTGCTTTGTACTCAGAATTGGACCTGTGGTTTAGGATGCAGTGAGAGTGTGACCCACTATAATTCACTCTCAGGTCCTCAGGTGTGAGCTGCCTGGAAGTACTAACAGTCTCCTGAAGAGGGCAAAAGCAAAAGTGATCCCCAAGTGAGTGGAAGACAGGGCAAGGAGTGATGGGTTGAAATTCGAGCAAGGAATATCTTGGAAAGCCAGTACAACACTGTTGCCAGTTGCATGGGAAGATCCGAGCATGGCAAATCCTCTTGCCAGGGACCAAGAGTGAGGTGGGCACAGCTGAGCCTGCCTTGGACTGTGTGAATCACCTATGGGAGCCCCTTCCCAGACTGTCCTCTGTGATTCTCTAATCACCTGCAGTGAAGGAAGTGAAGACTGCCCAGGAAAAAGGATTGTTTCTCCTTTTCTCTCGTTGTAAAGGGGATATTACCTGGGAAAAGCTTTCTGTTAATGTCAAAAGGAAGTATGACAGTTTTGCAGTATGAACAGTGTTTGGAAACGGCATGTAGGTACATACAGGAAGAGCAAGAGGTCCAGTAGAAACTGGAGGTGACTTAGGAGCCTTGTGAAATAAGTATCTGCTGCTTCTTAGTTGGGCCATAATTTCTATCTGTCCTTTTGTTGGGAAGCTGGATCCTACAGCTTGTCAGCTGTGATCCTTGGAGTCAGAAACCTGCTTATGTTTGAGGAGGATGCTTCCGAAGGAAAAGAGGTTTCACAGCAGATAACACCGTGTGAGTTCCTGTGTATTCATTACTGATGACGCTTGTCCCCATTGCCCATGATCAATCAGGTTTGACAGAGGTCTCAGAAATACTGTTGGGTTTGTGGGAATAAATGAGCCGGTGGAGGAGGGGTCAGGTGGTGCCAGCGAGGCAGCAGGGTGAGCCCAAACTTCATTGGACACCCAGAACTCCAAATGGGAGATGCTCCAATGCTCCAATTGCAGGTAATGCTTCAGTTATGCTGTGCAGTCACCCAAGAACTTCCTCACGGGGAACAGTGGTCTTCTGGCAGGGAAGATGGGAAGAGATGTTTTAAATAGGTGAAGTCTTTACTTGGGGCTTGTCTCCACCAGGAAACCATGGAGTATGTGCTTGGGTCCCTGGGTGCTCATGCCAATAAGAGTGGAGAGTTAGTGTAGTAGAGGACTAGCAGTTTCAAGGCTTCTCCACCCAGTTTTCCAGCACCACCTCATTACAAAGGAAGTGTGAGTGTAATTTGGCCATGTGGGTTGTTGAAGTTTTAGAACATCATGATGTTAGTGTCATCTGTACCAAGCCATCCCTGCCCAAAAGTAACCCTGGAAGGTGGCTGGTGAGTGGATGTGGTGAGTCTAGCTTGGAGTTGGCCTGTGGTGTGGGGTTTGTGGGTAGCCTCATTCACAGGCTCTGTCCTTTTCTCCGCATTCAGATGTGTCAAGTGTGTAAATAAATACTCCACCCCAGAAGCCCTGGAGCACCATCTGCAGACAGCAACACACAACTTTCCCTGCCCTCATTGCCAGAAGGTGAGTAGGGGACCATTGCCAGAGCCAGTCCTGGCCGTGCCGTTAAGGCTCCAAGGGGGATGGGGGACAGGAACCTTGGACTCCCTTTCCTCTCCTTTCTTACCTCAGTACAGACTGGCAGGCTTGAGAGGTGCTTTTCAGAGAGCTGGAAGTGATCGAATCGTGGCCTCCATCTCCCTTGCCTTCCGCGCAGAGTACATTCCTCTCTACAGTGCTGGCTTTTCTCTTGGGCCCTGTTTGATAGCGAGGATTTGCGAGGGGATGTTTCTCCCTGTCCGCCCCTTGTGTTGGGTTTGTGCCGTGCAAAGAGCCAAGCTCTTTTATTCCCTTAACGCACCCAGTGCAGAGTCTGACTTGAGTCTTCAGAGGCATGGGACCTTACACGCTGGGCTGCCATCCTTATTTCTTAGAGGCAGGTATGCTTGGAAAAGTGGGGCAAGTTTGGGGGAAGTGCTAGGGTGGCGTCGGTGCCACGTACCTCAAGGGCCATGCCACCATGCCTCGCTATCTGGGGCTAGAAGGATTGTGCCTGAGAAGTCCCTGGAGAGCCTGGGTGTCCGTGTTGCTCTCTTCACCTCCTGCCACAGTAGAAGTCTTTTGGTCTCTTCGTGTTCTGCTCTTTTGGATGAATGCTCTGTGTCCTTGGAAAAGAGAGATCTGTCTGAGTGTTGTGACTGGGACTTGAACAATGCCCTGGTAGGTTTTGGCTGGAAATACTCCCTTCAGCATGGCCCCTGAGGGGGCTTGAGGGGCAGAATTTTGTGGGATTTGAATTCTAATAAATTATTATTTGAAATCCAGACTAAAATTTGGACCCTTGCTCCTCTGTTTATAGCCAAGGAAATGAAAATCCTGCAGTGAGGGCAGGGGCAATCTCAAAGGAGTGACCACTCTATACTGAGGTAGCTCAGGAAGGGGAAACTCACTCCTGCCATGGTTAGTAACCCATCTTTCTTTACCTGTCTTTCTTCCACTCCCCCCAGCAGATGACAAATGCCCTTTTGGGCCTGGGTGCGACTTTGAGCAGCAGCAACAATAAGGCTTAGAGAGCCCACTATCTGCAGCACTGATTTTTTTTTTCCTCACCTCTGTTTGTATTCTTACTCATATTGCTGACTTCTGGAGATGCTGTGAGAGCCCAGCCCTGGGCACCAGAACCCCTGATCTCCAGTTCTTGCATATTTTCAATATTCTCATTAGCCAAGGGAACCATGCATCCTGACTTTATAAAAACGATGAATGAGTGTACAGCAGCATTGAGAGCCTTTAGTAATAGCTGATTGGGAAGCGCAAAATAATTTTAACAGTGTGGGAAGGCAGTAACTACTGGGGTTCCTTGCCCAGCCTGTGCTGCTGATGGCTCCAGCGGGCTGTCCAGGTGGGACACTGGTCCTCAGCACTTAAATGATGTTATAAAATTTAGCAGGAAGTTTTGGCTTATGTGTTTCTTAAGGATAAGAAGCTTTTTCTTTCTCTCCAAAAAAGCCATATGTTTATTATCCTTACACAAAACTGAACATTTCCTCGGTGCTTCCTTACCAAGAAAGAGTTGCTGTGGTCTTCCTTGTCTTTTTTACCTAGGTTATGCCTCCCATCACCATGCAAGCTCAGGGATCTCAGTTGCATGCTGCTGAGTTTTAGCCTTGCTCTTGTGTGTTCACAGGTGTTCCCCTGTGAGAGGTATCTGCGCCGACACATCCCCACGCATGGTGGGGGCAGCAAATTCAAGTGCCAGATCTGCAAGAAGTTCTTCCGCCGGGAGCACTACCTCAAGCTGCATGCCCACATCCACTCAGGTACAGACCTGAACGTCTTCCCTGCCAGCTGGCAGCCTCCAGGAACAGACACGGGGGGGATCAGAGCTCAGCGACTGAGACCTTCCTCTTCCCAATTCTCTGGTGATCCCATTTCAGCTGAGTTGCAGCCTTGGGATTGCAGAGAGCTGGCTTGGGGCTTGTTATCCTAGGCACAGAACCCTGGCAGGGTGGGTTCCATGCTTGGCTCTGGGCTGGAAGCAGGTTGCCTCTTGGGGATGATACTTGGCCCATGCACGTTAATAGACTGGACCCACCCAGAAATTCTGGAAATACAGTGCAGAAATGAGAGTTGAGTGGTTCTGGATAATCAGGCTTAGGCCCAGGAGGCTTTACCAGTTCCAGTGCACTGCTGGCTTTGCTGGATCCAAACTGGTCTGTGCCTACTGCTCCATGTCTCAAAACCAAAATCCTCCTTGCTGCACCCTGTAATGCACTGGCTGTTTTCCAGGCAACTAGAAAAACAGTCAGCTGCATGAGTCATATGTAATGCATGGTTTTGGATCAGTCTCATGCTCTATACTGCTGCAGTTAGGGACGCAGAGCTGACTTCCCTGCTGTCCAGGGTTGCAGAAGCTAAGGAAGCTGACCCTGGGGAGCATGGGGACTGTAGCTATCCATCCATCAGGCAAGCTAAGGAAACCTGGGAGAGATGAGGGAGAAGCAAAAACTGGCTCTGCTGCCAGAGTGAATCCTGTACATGACGAGAGCAGCCCTGTGTCCCTGGGCTCTCCCTGACTCTTGATGTCTTGCTTACACAGGAGAGAAGCCCTTTAAGTGCTCGGTGTGCGATGCAGCCTTCAATCGGAAAGATAAACTCAAGCGGCATATGCTGATTCACGAACCTTTCAAGAAGTACAAATGTCCCTTCTCGTACGTAGCATGTCTCCAGCATGGTGCTGTGTCTTAATGGGTTGTGATGGGATCTGGGCGGGAAGGAATCTCTCTTGCATGGTATGTGTATGGCATTTGCCAATCCACTGCTTCCTGGAGAAGCAGTAATGCTGGGTGAACCTAGCATTGAACTGGGAACCTAGAAAATCCCAGTTACTGATCTACTGCAGGGCTGCATTATTTCACCTCAGTTCATCAACCTGTGTAAAATAATGCCTGCCTGCCGGGAAGGCTCTGGGGTCTACATCTAGAGAGCACTGAGGAAAGGAAATGATCCGAGCACAAACTGCTAAGTATAGTGATCTCCCCAGCTGTCATATCTCAAAAAGCACTTGGCAATGTGGGAGCTAAAGCACAAGCCAGCGAGAGACAGGTTTAGGAGGTGCATCCCATAGGTAGTGTCTGTGAGACGGTCAGATCCGTGACACAGTGACACTGAGTGACTTTTCCCTGTTCGAACCAGTTTGCAGCTTCCTCCAGAATATTTCTGCTTCCAACTGGGATCTTCAGTCTGGTACTTTTACGAGCATTTGTGGTGAGACAAGGGCAAGATGTGGTTTAGTAGAAATCAGGTGTGTCCCTGTGGCAGCCTGTTTATTTCTTGCTCCATCCAGAAGGGCTGGAATTGTGCAGGTCCAAGGGAGCTGTGGGCTGCTAAGGAGAAGGGCTGTGAATTGCTTAATGGCTGAGCATCTCTGTGCACCAATACCCAGCTGATTCGTGCTGCTCCTCTGTGTTTGTCTTTCTTCCAGAAGCCACACAGGTTGCAATAAAGAGTTTAACAGACCAGACAAGCTCAAGGCTCACATCCTGTCCCATTCAGGTAAGTGCAGCTGGCCCCTGCCCTTGTGGCCAGTAGTTGGGAAAGTTGGGAATGAGGAAGTTGTTTGGACTGGCTGTAACACTGGAGGGTGCACGTTACAGGAAGAGTAATCCAGGGAAACAGGAGGTGGCAAATGATGGAAGTGCTTCTGCTTTGTGACCCCCCGAAGTGCAAGGTGTTCCCTGCAGATGCTTTTACCGCTGTGTCCCTCCACCCACCCCTCAACTAACACAGCTGCTATGTAGTTTTACGAGAGAATTTTCCACAGTGTTTTCCATGCATAAGCCTGAATGCTTAATACTGTTTATTAGCTTTTTATCTCTGTGGTTGAAGGCCTGATTGCGTGAGCTTTTTTTTTACAGTCGTATCTAGTATTTTGGCTCTTTTCTAGTATTACCTGTTTTACAGTCGTATCTAGTATTTTGGCTCTTTTCTACTGCACCATAAACCTGTAGGCAGGGCCTGCTGGCTGACACTCTGAGGCACTGTTGGATTATTCAATATGCTCACTTTCAAATGAATGTCCACAGTGATCTGTCTACTCCTTACTAATAGTATTTTCCATTCAAAAGGAGAGCTGTTGGGATTCAGCTCCCTTCTCTTTGTGTTCCAAAAATGATGCTCCTGCTTCTAATAGAGACAAACCATTTCTTCCTGGGCCCTAGGGAACTCTGTGGGTTTTGTCTGTGGGGGTAAAACTGTTTCTTTCCTTGTGCCTGTCCATGTGCAAAGCTTTGGTACGAGTGATCAAGTGGGGCTGTGCTGACAGTGCCGTGGGTGATATGCTGTAAGCTCTGGCATATACCCATATTTGGGAGGGAAAAAAGTAAACTATTATTTACCAAATGCATTTGGAAAAAACTAAGAAAAACAAAAACAAACAACATACCCACGGATTTGATGCCTATGGTCTTTTCATCACAATTACCTGACACTTTTTCTTTTAAGATTTTAAACCTCTTATTTGGAGACCAGTACTAATGTTGTAACCCTTCCTCAACCGTGGCATTCAAGGTGTGGCAGCACCTACTTTTCCAATTGCCTGGCACCGTGTCATCGTGGACCACGGTTGGGATGGGCTGACGTGAGGTGTGTGTGGGGGTGGCTGGTGGTTCTAATTAGCAAACCATTTGGCAGCATGTGGCTGCTTGGACGAGCAGTTTCAAGCTGTTCCAAGCTGCAGGGTAGGAGAGGGAGGGAGGATAACATGTTATGATGGATTTTTTTATGAGAGAACATCTGCCGGGAAGAGGAGCTAGAGCTGCCGTGTCCTCCCTTGGTGCGGTGCAGTTTTGCCTGAACATCTGTGTGTCAACACAGAGTTCTTTAACAGCCGTTTCTCTCCTCCAATGCTCTGTGCAGGGATGAAGATCCACAAGTGCCAGTACTGTAACAAGTCTTTCAGCCGCCGAGCCCACATGATGGAGCATCAGCGCTCGCACACTGGCAACTACAAGTACCGCTGCCCCACCTGCAGCAAAGGCTTCACGCGCCACAAGTACATGAAGGACCACAAGTGCCGCCTAGGCTCACCCAAGGACAAAGAGCTGCAGCTCAGGAAGCCCCAGAAGAAGCGTGTGGTGCGGGGGCGCAAGGGGGGCCTTTCCCTCCCTAGCCAGCTGGCCCTGGCGGAGCTGAAGGACGGTGCCAGTGGGGAGAGCTCCCGGGAGGGCGGCCCGAACAAAGAACAGTTCCAGGAGTCAGATGCTGTCCTGTCCATTGTAGTGGGGGGGTCAGGAGCTGCTGAATCGGACCTGGTGGTCCCCGGGCAGCCCAGCAGCATCACGTCCAATTTGGCCCTGGCGGAGTTACAGGCTGCTTCAGACAGCCCCTGCACCATGCTGGCTGTGCCTGTTTACATCCAAACAACTGAGTGAGGACATGAGGGCCACTGTGTGGCTGGGACCTGCTGCTGGGCGTGTCAGACTGCGCTGAAAATTATCACCGTGAAAGACCAAAGCCCTTGCGGGGAGGTAGATGGATATGAGAGAGTGGCTCTCGTTTCCACTCGTTCTTCCCTTCGTCGGGCAAAGGACTGTCTAGAGCCATTACTGGCTAGAAGGCACTGAAGGTAACAGTTCCATATTATCTTGGCCTTCTACATCACTGTTCAGTCCAGGGCAAGAAGGACTAAGATCCCTGAATCAGGGTGAGACGAAGGAGTGTACAGCCTTACAACAAACAGAGCTGCTGATTCCAGATGGCTTTGCAAATCACAGCCTATTCCACCTGTGGTTTTTCTGGCCTAAAATTTGTATTGCCCAGTATTTGGGTGGCCTATTCAAGAGCAAACAAATGATCCTTCCTAGTGGAAGCGAGTTCATCCTGAGATCCTTTGGGAACACTGTTCAGAAGTACCCTTGAATCACATATCTGATGTCTTTCTCTTCTCTGTCTTTATCAGTAGAAAGATGGTCTAGTCTGTACTACCTGTGTCATAAACACCGTGGACCTAAAGTGCCGGGTGGAGTCAGTGGGTGGGAGCAGCAGCATGCTGTGTTGGTGCCAGGCCTGGGTGTATGTATGTGTTGGTTCTTCTGTGTGCTCAGTGTTCTGTCCATGGTTCTTTCATAGATTTTTCTTCATATCCAAGGACTTCCAAGTGCATAAGACCCCAAGGAGTTGGTTCTTCCCAGCCTGCAGATTTCCTTAGCTCAGTTTTATGGGCCAGTTGTTAAGGTTTTGGGGGACCGCTGGCAAGTGGGGGAAGCCCTGTGCCACTGGGACAGTTTCTGTTGCGTGCTTTCCCAAGCAGGACTCTCTCCTTGTTCCCTTTCCTCTTGTGCTCCAAGTAGTGTCTTGTTTTAGCAATTTATTTTTCCTCCAATGTTTTTCCAAAACAGGAAGGAGAGAAGAAGCAGTGTAATGCTGGTAAAGGAGCTGCACAGGCCAGCCTGGGGTCTAAGGCAGGTAGGAGACTTGTTGGGGATGCTGCTCCCTTCTTTGCTGGGCTCTCCCTGCTCAGCTCTCAGCCTCAACCTTTAATTTGCCACAGGAGGGATTTGGTTGTTGGGAAATAGGACTTGAGTAGGCTGGTGGCTGCAGCCTCTGGCTCTGGGGGATATGCTGCCACTGTGCTCTCCACTGTTTTTGTCCCACTCCACAGATAGATCCGCGTAGCTGAACTTGTCTTTCTTGGCACATTTTATGCAATGATTGACCGAGCTGCCTGGAGATCTGGGAGGTTGCATTTGCAGTCACTTTCTCCTGCAGTGGTATGAGGTGGGGGACAGGGTTTGTGGGGACACGGAGTGCTGATGTCTTGGCTACCATGAACATTTGTCATTTGATGGCATGTTCTTCTAGACTGTGTCCAGCCCAAAGGTGAAACAGGGTCCTAAAACCACTGTCACTCCAGGAAGGTGACCACATAGTCCCTGTCTGGATGGTTCCTATCACCAGTTTTCTGTGCTCAGTTCCATCTTCTTAACTCCTAACTCACCTTGTGCTCCTTCCGCTATTTTGTGATGCTTCTAAACTTCCAGGTGTGTTGGGGTTTGGTAGGAAATGGAATACAGGACTTGGAGGAAAGGTTGAGAGAAATGAGTTTGGCCTTAAGGAGTAGTCAAAGGGAAGGCCTTATTGTTGTAAACACCAGCAAGGGGAGCCTGTAGAGATGGAGCCAGTTTCTTCTCAGAGACCCACAGCAACAGGACAAGAAGGCAAGAAGGACTGACCGGAATGTGAGAAATTTTGACTCAATGTACAGAAGAAAAGCAAAACTACAAAGAGGGTGGTGAATCACTAGAACGAGGGCACAGAGAGGCAGCAGGAGCCGCATTCTGGATCATCTCATTAACAGAACTCAGCAAGAGCCTCCTGCTCTGATGACCTGCACAGAGACCTCCAGACAGCGCTTCCCACCTATGCGTTTCTGCCAAGTCTCTTGTCTGCTTTTAAGGACAGTTTATTTGCCCACAGTGTTTAAGTGCTTGGTTGTCATGGGAGGGGAGCAGGAAGAGGGTTGCTAAATATACTTCCCTTTTCCTCTGCTTTGTACCCATTCTGTACAGTGCCATTATGTGACCTCTGCGCTTGGTGCAGTGTTGCAGTCGGATCTGTTTTGGGAGGATGTGTGGGTAAAGCACTCCTCCAGCCAGCAGGAAAGGGCTGGAGACATTCCCTGCTTTTCTGGCCTCTGCTTTCCAGCAGTCCTGATCACAGCAAGACAGTCTAAATAAGACGCTGAAAACTTCTTTTTTTTTCCCTCCTCTGGCTATCCTGGACGTAACTGAGTTGGTAGCAGATCCTCAAAGCGGCTTTGCACATGACTTGTGCAGGTAGGGGCTGAGAGATGCCGTGCTATTTGCTTGATGTGCATTTTTGTGTGCTGTGCTGTTTCGCCCAGACACTAGCACCGAGTTTTATCTCAACCGTAATCATCTCTTTAGAGCAAACTTCAAAATGATCACACAGAAGATTATAAAGCAACAGCTCAGTAGGGAAGCTGGGCTGCTCGACGGCCCAGTTCTTGCCTGGGGAAGCTCTGCGGACGATCATCTCGTGTGTCGCTGGATGCAGCAAGCCTGGGGGATTTGGGAGGGAAAGACAAGCCGCTGTCCCTCTGCTTTGCAGCTGGGCTGGCGGCGCAGGAGCGGCAGCGCGCGGGGCAGGAGCGGCAGCGCGCGGGGCAGGAGCGGCAGCGCGCGGGGCAGGAGCGGCAGCGCGCGGGGCAGCTGCCTCCACAGCTGCTCCCCGACCCCGGCCGTCCCTCCAGACCTGCGCGGATACCGCTGTAGCCTTACTGTCCTTTTGGTAAAAAATGGGAAAAATGCAGCTACTTAAAAACAAAACCAAACCCTACTCTGTATCCAGGCTGCCTGCTGTTTCTATTTTGTCATCAAGGGAAGTCTTGTGGGAAAAAGAATTTAATCAGGAAATGTGCATGCTGTCGCTGAGACATGAGGAGTTAGATGCCATACACAGTGAACAGTCATGCATGAATGTGGCTCATCACAGCAGGCCAGGAGCTTCCGAAATCCTCTTTCTTCCTCACTGTCCTAGTTTTCATCCACTTTTTAAAGTCATGCAAAAACCTAATGTCATTGGAGTCAATTCAGATAGCTGCTCAGAGAATTGACTTTGTCCTAGCACTGTTCCATAAGGCTGGCTCAAACCTGCCTTTCTGACACAGCCATTCCCATTACGGACCTGCTATCAGGAGCATCCTGGCACGTTCTGCAAGATTCTGGTAGGACCCCTGAAGTAACAGCATTTATTTAGAAACAGATCTGATATGGATCAGAACAAAGGTCTGTGGGAAGGTGAAAGGCAGGAAAGGGCAGGTAAAACACTGTCACCCTTTGTACTCTTCTAATGTCTAATGCTCTCAACCTTTTTTTTTTTTCCTTCACCTCAATGGTTTCAGTAAGACTCAGTAGACTTTTTTTCTGTGTATTTTTCTAGTTTCCGCTGTATGCAGTATTACAAAAGTGGCAAGATGGAACAAGGCAGGACCTGGTCAAAAAGCTTTGCTTCAGAGCTCCCAGGGGCTGCTGATGTCTCTTTTGACTCCTGTTCTGCAGGTTCCAGGCTGGGTAGGAGGTACTCGCACTGCTCGGGCCAGTGCAAATTCAAGGACTGTGTCCAGACCTCCCTCGGGCAGACACCTAACAGGCGAGCATGGGTTTTTTAGCATAAACTGCTGCCTTTTCGCCAGCCTCAATACCCAGGCAGAGGACAGTGACGGATGATGAAATGCTGTGCCGAGCAGGACTCTAGAAATCTCTTGTGTGTGTCTAGTACCAGCAGAAAATAGGCCAAGTGCACTCAACAACACGTGAACCAATGGCCTGAATTACAAATACAGGAAGGGGGGTGATTAAGCTGGGCTTTTGAAATACGTAAATGGATGTTTTTAGAGTATTGTGCTGCTGCTAGAGCTACTGCTGGAGATGCTCCCTCGCATCTCTCTACAAGATAAGCCACAAAAAGGGAAAAAAACAAACCAAAAACCCCACACGTTGAAAAGCTGGTGTGAAAAACGAGGGTGATTCCCCTTATTTGCTGCTGTCTTTATTTACACGGGCCCGGGCGGTGTTTCCCCGGATCTGCTCAGGGCCCACTGGGGCCATTTTACCCAATAAACGGGTTTTTCACCTCACCCTGTTCTTTCCCTTCACCTCTTGGTGCAAGACCGAGGTCCCGGGGCCTGAGCCCCGCCCTGCTCGGGGGGTTTCCCCCTGATCCCCCCGGGACACCGAGGGGCCGCGCCGCCATTACCGGCGGGAGGGGCGAGCCTGAGGGCAACGGCGCCCCGCCCCCTCCCCCGCCCGCGCCGCGTCACGCGGCCGCCTGACGTCACCGCGCCGCGTGATGCCGCGCCTCGGTGCCCGCCCTTCCCGTCGTGCCTCGCGCCGCCCCCCCCGTACGGACTACACGTCCCGGCGTGCCCCGCGAAGGGCGGCCGGGCGCGGGCGGCGAGGGGCAGGCGCGGGGCACGCCGGGAGCTGTATGCGGCGCGGGGGCGGCGGCGGGTGACGGGGCAGGGCCGGGCCTGGCCGGGCCGTGCGGAGCGGCCGGCGGCGCTCGGGCTTCGCTGGCGGTGGTTGCGGCTGCGGCCCAGAGAGCGACTCCGCGAGGGGCCGTCCGCGCCCCGCCGCCTTTGCCGCCATGTCGGGGCTGCTGGGGAAGCTGTTCGGGACGGGCGCCGGCGGGAAGGGCGCCGGCAAGGGCCCCTCGCCGCAGGAGGCGATCCAGCGGCTCCGCGACACCGAGGAGCTGCTCAGCAAGAAGCAGGAGTTCCTGGAGAAGAAGATCGAGCAGGAGCTGGCGGCCGCCCGCAAGCACGGCACCAAGAACAAGCGCGGTGAGGGCCGGGGAAGGGGCGCCGGGCCCCGCTCGTGCCCCGGGCGAGCCGGTGCCGCCCGCTGCGGCCCAGCTCTGCTTTTACTATTGCTTGTTATTACTTATCCCCGGTCTTTTCTAAAGCGAGGCCCTTTAGCTTAAATGGGAGATTTGTAGGGGTTTGGAGATCGCGTCTCGGGGCGCCTCTCCATGAGGCAACCCCGGCCTTGTTGGGGAGGTCTCCGTGGGTGAGGATGAATCCGCGCTGCTGGAAGCGGTGGGGGAATGTCCGCCCGTGTCCCTCGGTGCCATTGGGAGCTTCTCGCCCGTGTCGCAGAACGCGGCGTCTCCAGGAAGGCGGATTTGGGTTTCGGTGCTGGCCTTGCCCTAGCTGGCAGCAGCGCGGGGCCTCGCACCCCGGGGAGGCACCAGGAAAGAGCTGCTGCTTGGTCTCTCTTTCCTATCGCTCCTGGAATCAGCTTCTTTGCGCCTCTGAACCCTGCATCCCCTTTGTATTGCATTGGCTAACGCAAATGGAGCAAATCCATGAACCACGGTGGGATTTGTACATGGGAAAGATGCAGGAGAGAGCAAACTTGCTGCTCTCTGTTTTGTCCCAAAGGATTTTAACAGGCCCTGATTGCAGAGGCCGTCTTCCAAACAGCCACACCTACTGAATTAAAATGATTCCTACGTCCAGTTATAACATATTACAGAAGTTGAAACATTAAGTATAGTTAAGTTCAAGTGCTAAGTGTAAAGTTCTTGCACAGGCTTTTGGCTTAGTTCTGAACAGGCTTGAAAAGAGAAGTAAAATACGTGTGTCTCTAGCCTTCCTGTTGTAGTGCAGTTTCAGCATCCTATGTTTTTTGTTGGTCCTACTCATTTCCCCTGAACAACTTTTCCTCCCACTTCTTGCTCTCCAGCTTCTTGCTTTGCTCGCTGTGACGCCCCTGCGCCGTGTTTCCTTCAGGGATCGGCTTTGGCTGCTGGAGGGATTAAATTTCCTCTGAGCTGGAGGAAGGAGAAAAACCTGCCGGTTCTGCAGAGTTTCTGGGTCAGACGAGCTGCAGCCTCACAGGACAGAGATCTCTGAGTAATCAGGGGATCACAAAAAAGAGAAGGGTTAAGGATAGTTTAGAATAGTTTTCTGGCATAAAGCTTTTTTTCCCCCCTCTTTTTCTCCTTCGTGAAGGACTTTTGAAGCCAAAAGGCCACCATTATTATGGGGCTGCCGGGAAAAGGAGCTGGTTATCTGATAGCTGTTTGGGAAGCGTCTGCTCAGTCCAGAGTGCAGGGCTCTCGTTTGTCGTTCACCAGCTGAGCTGTAACAAATTTCTTTCTTTTTCTCCACATAATTGTTAGGATTTTTCCCTGTTTCCTTTAGGCTACTTTATAATCTGGAGATGTGTGATTTTGTTTCAGTGTCACTAAAATCCATACTTTAAATGAAAATAAAAGCATTTGCTTTATAGGCTGAAGTATACCATTTTGATGGGAATATTTCCATGTAAGTTCAGTGCTCCATGCCAAAAGAAATGGAAGTTAATTTAAGAAGGAATTTTTTAAGTATTGGATCATCCTTCAGAAAAGACAACTGGAAGAATCCTTTAACATCTATGCTTGCCCAAGACTTGGATTTTATTCTGTGTTTGTGTGGGTTTTTTTTTTCTTTTTATATTTATATATATGTGTGTGTGTATATATATTATATATATCCCTGCTATCTGGAGTGAAGTGTACGATGAATAGTGCATATATATAATGTTTGTTTGGACGTTCCCTGTGATATTATCAGAATGCAGCTATGGTAAAGCAAAGAGTAGAATGCATATGACTGTGCTATTGAGGCAAATAACTTAACTGGAAAATTAAGGCAGCTTAGGAAAAAAGTGGAATGATGTTTTCTTGGAGAAAAGATATGTCTTGCATGCTTACAGTAACAAAAGGAAACCTTCTCTGGTCTCCAGCACACTGCACAATTGTTCGGGTGCCAAGTGAGCGGAGTTTCTAAAGGCTCAATGAATAATTTCTTCAGCACTTCTGGAGTCTAAAGACAGCACAGAAGCTTAGTATAGACCTCCTCTCTTTTTTTTTTTTTTTTTTAAAAAACCCCTTTTTGTGTGTGTGTGCGTGCATTCCAAGCTTATTTTTTAGAAGTATTTTCATAACTGCATTTAAAATATCTAGGCTGTATGACCATGTGGCTTTTCAAGGAATCCTAAAGTTAAAATAAATATCTAACTGGTGTAAGTATTCTTAGTCTGCATTCTTTCTTGGCATGAGACACTCTCGATTTCTCAGTGCCTCTTTTCATAGGCTTTCTGTCCTCTTCTGATTGCAGACGTGGCATGTTTGT